ACGGTAGAAATGATGGTGCAAATGAGAGCAAACGCCATTTCACCAAAAAAGAGCTGTGGGCATTCTTCTTCTAGGCCAGCCCTGGCTGCTCGCTACTGAAAGCAGCCGTAGTCCTAGAAAGCTGCAGTTGCACAGGATGGGTATTTCTCTGCTTCCCAGCCTGCGCTGCTTTTAGATTTCAATTGCTTTTTTTTTTTTAATGATTTGTTTCAGTTCCTGTACCAATGATACTGTGTTTTTCAGTGCAAAACAATTGTAACCGCCTTTCTGTGCTGCTGTGGGTTTTGCTTATGAAGACCCAGTCCTTGCCGTGCATTGGAGCCATGTCCCACGAGGGCCCAGGACACACAGGATTTGAGTAACCAAAGCAGTCCTTCCCACCGCCATGACAAAAGGTCGCTATTTTCTTCACCTTTGCTAGGCTTCCCCCTGTTTTCACGGCTGTCTGGTTTCCCTGGGGCTGGCGGGTGGTTTGGTTTGACAGCACGTCAGTGGGGAGATCTTTATCCACAGATATCTCATTCGGCTCCAACAGCCCAAGGTGAAAGCGCACGCAGCTCTGAGGCGAGCTCCCAGCAAAGTGAGCCTGGCTCTCCAGCAAGAGCTGGAGGATTTGGGTGTTTGTACTCCATCAGGAGGTTTCTACCCATGAGAGCGTGCCCCGGGAATCGCGGCTGAGCTGGCCGGCCTTGGGGAAGCCAGGCAGCCAGCCGGCTCCCGCTCCATAACTGGGGGGAGTAACCAGCTGCCTTTGATGTCTGAGCTGGGCTGAGAAAACCTGACAGCAGACTTCAAAGTCTGTTGTGCCAGCTCCCCTGATTATCTGTAGGCTTCTGGCGCATGCCCCAAGACTGCCAGATTATCCTGGCTAATGCTGTGCTCTTCCCTGTGTCCCCCCACCCTGCCTAGTGCCAGTCCCTCGCTTTCGAGGCTGCAACCTCCCTCCCTCTCCTCCTGCCCCTCCCTGGGCGCTGTGAGGATGTGGCAATGGCATTTCTGGGTAGGGGACATGTCTCCTGAGATCTGTGGAGCAAAGGCAGAGGAGACATTTTTGGAGAGCTTCCCTGTAGCCTGCACTCCTGGGCTGTATTACCCCTCCCTGTTTGATTGCAAGAGCAGCCTGAAATGCAGGGAGCTCTTTGCGGCTGCCCTTTGCAAGGCACCGAGGTGTTTGTAGCCAAGCAGGCACCCTGTGCCTTTCCTCCAAAAAAGCTTTTGGGGAGCAGGGCTCCCATCCATGGTGCTCCAGGGAAGGCCGTGCAAGGAGAGGGCTCTGTTGTCTTTGTCCCCTGCAGCCGCTGCTCGGACCTCGCTGCCTCAAATTAGTCTCTAGCTCCCTCGCCACCTGCGCCTCGGTGCTTGGGGAGCCCCAGGGTGCTCGTCTGTGTGAGCAGAGATGCGGAGGGCAGGTCACTGCTGAGGGCTGGCTCGGATGGGGGTGAGGAGACGGCAGAGCCATGGGACTGAGCAGAGGCCCCAGAGCTCATGCTCCTCCCAGAGCAGCTTGCTTTCACCTGGGATGTTGCACAGCAAAGCCAAAAGCTCATGAGGGAACCCTCCCTTTTAAGAGCTGGGTTTGTTTTTTAGTCCTAGAGGAAGCAACCTCAGCAGTGGCTGAAAACCACTATGCAAAGCCGGATTTGCTGAAGACGTGGTTTGAGGTCTGAATTTCTTTGGAAGTTGAGGTCTGTTGCTACTTTTTAGGAGGCAGAGTAGGTTGTGCTGCAGTGGGTGGAAGCCAGCAAAAAGAGTGGCGGCTATGGGCAGAGGAGACCGGCATCGTCTGCTGCTCAGCAGCATTGCTGCCAAACCCTGGGCACCCGGATGGGTTGAGGGGGCTCACAGGGGCCATATAGCCAGGCAGGGGATCTGGGCGGCAGCCTCTCCCCTATGCTTCCCTAATTGCTTTCGGGTCTCGGCAGTCTGTTCTCTCTGAAAACCAACACTGACCATGGGGTCACCTCCTTCATCCTCAATGAAGGTCCACAGCATTTCTCCCCTTCTTGTGGGAGGATCCTGCTTTACCCCCATCCCTCCCCAGGCTCCTTGCAGTGCGCAGGGGGAGCGTCCGCTCAGTAGTTATCTGTCCGTGAGGTTTCAAAGTCCCCATGGATGTTGCAGATTGCTGCTGTGCTCTTTTAGGTAATGTAACTGTACCCTGGCTGCACTGGGTTTGGTAATGCTTTCCATGCTGTGTTTTTTGTGGTGTTTTTCTGGAAAGCTTTGGCCCAAAGTGGCTGAGCAGCATCCAAAAAGCGTGCCCGCAAAGGCATCCAGGGAGGCAGAAGGAGGGAGAATGGGTACGGAGGCATTGCAATTAAAGATGGTCATCACCTACGTGAAAGCCAAAGCCAGTGCTGTGAGCAACCTGACTTCTGGTCTTGTGATCTGAAGTGGGAGATGGTGGTACCCTGCTGGGGTGGGCTGAGAGGTGGCCCTGCTGTCCAGGTGCCGGTGGTGGCCAGGCTGTGCTGAGGGCTGGGCGTCAATAGCATTTAATCCCCACGGCCCTGGTGCAGTGCTTCAGCTCACCAGGCGAGGTGCACGGGCACATGCACTGCCTGGCTTGGAGGAGGCGAGTCTTCTGCTTGTTGTGGGTACGGGCAGGGACCCTCTGTGCTATCCAAGAGGTGTATTTCCCCATTGCTTCCCGTCCTGTGTCTTCCCCAGGAAAATAGGGCAAGGGGATCTTTTCTTCCCGTGGATCTGGCTTCACTGATGTGGTTTCTAATGACAACGCTGCCTTTGTAAAGGGTTCTCTGATCCTCTTCCTTTAGCCTGCCTTGTGTGGTTAATAGCCCTGCTGTATGTCTGGTTGCACTGATTTCCCAGGGAGGAAGAGAATAAGTTTTAGACTGTGCAGTCCAAGGAAGAGGGAGCTGTTGGTTTTGTCCACAGAGGAGCATCACTGCCGGTGATAGGGCTGGGCCAGGCAATCCTATTCTCCCTGGTTTCTCTATTCCAAATGTAAACAGCGACTCATGCATCATTAGAGTTGCAAGCTTGGAGTTAAACTGTCCCCGTGTGTGTGTTTATATGCACACTGACTTTCGGAAGCTCACTGAGGTTGGAACTCCAAGTTTCCTTTCTATTTACTCTGTTGCTGTAGCAGAAATGCTTTTCCCTCATCCAAAGTGGTAAGTGGGTTGGCTTACTGTCAGCAGGATCATCCCTGGGGCACTGCTGGTAGTGGGTTGCTCTTGGAAAGCAAACCTCTTCATCCCTTGCCTCCAAGATGGGAGCGTTTCATCCTGCAGCAGGGAACGGAAGCCTACCACGCAGTTAGGTCTATATGCCTGGCCGTGTCCTACTGCCATGGCTCCTCCTCACCAACAGGCGTGCTGGGGCACTCCACCGCTTGCCAGCCCCTGCTGTATCTGCTCACCTCCTCTGTGGAGTCAGAGCATGGGTTTCAGCCCTGCGTTGCACCCTCTTCCCCCAAAAGGTGCTGTTCCTTTGCTCCATTTCATTGCAATGAGCGTGGGTAGCAGGGCACAGGTGAATCCTGCAGGGAGCCCTCTGCCTGCTGCAACAGCCCATCCCGCCGGCCTGGATTTGGCTTTCTGGAGAGCTGCGTGGTGCTACGGGAGCTGCGTGCGCAGGCTGACGAGGAGCCGGCTAATGGAGGCGTGAGCCTTGCAGCAAGGAGTTTCTACCTCCATTTCCTGGCCCCACGGGCTGTCATATGAATCAGTTTAATAAACGGGGAAAGGAGGGACCTCGTGTTTGTTTTGGTTCATTACATGAATCTCGTTCCCTCTAGGAGTCCCGTGCGATCAAGCAAAAGGACTTGTTTTATGGTTGGTTTTTGCTTGTGGATCCCTGAGCTAATTTAGTCATTCAGTCGATGCCCTGGCAGCACGGTGAGAGCAGCATGGCTCAGGGGTAAATGCTTTGTGCTGCCATCTCTTCTGCAAAAAGAACCCCAAAACAACCCCCCCTGCAAAATACCCAAACAAATCCTTTCAGAGAGTGTCTCTGGTTTAAGTGTGTGGCGGCACGCCCGAGAGGCTGGGGTTCCCCTGCCCAGGACGTGCCCCTGTCAGCCTCCCACCGTGTCCCTGGCACCTGCCAGCGGGAGCAGCAGCATGCCCCCGGCCACGCGGTGCCAACGGCACGGTGCCATGCAGCAGCAGATGCAGCCACAGTGCTTGCCTCTGGGGCTGTGGCCAGCAGCCTCCTGGCCTCAGCCCTCCCAGTGCAGCTCGCTGTGGCCTCACCACCCCTGCAAGCAGTGCTGGTCCAGGATCCTCTGCATCCAGGTGCCTGCCCATGGGATGCGCTTATAGCAGAGCGTTCCCGGCTGATTTCTGGCTGTGTTGGTGATCCTTCAAGAGCCAATAAACTGCCTGGGCTGGGCTGACTGTTATGATGGAGGGTCTCCTGCCCCTGTAGCCGATGGGCTGGTGGGGGTACTGTGGGAGAGACACCCCACTTGGGGTGCCCCACTGCACCGCGAGGCAGAGCTTGGTCAGCTGTTCTCGGCAAGCACTGTGCCAACCCAGCTTGTACCTGAGGCATCATACTGCTGTCTGCAGCTACAGAAAATAAATAGCTGGGAGGAGCTTCAGCCCTAGAAATCTGCCTCCATCCCTCCCTGGGGTCCAGCCCCTTGCCCCCTCTGTCAGCAGGGAGCAAGTTACTTCATGCAACAAAGCGGGAGTCACAAGGCAGAGGGTTAGCCTGTGAGCTGCTGTCAGACAGCAAAGCCACAGCTGTAGCGTTGGGCACCTGGCACGCACACAGCAGCAGGAGGGGCCTTGGGCATCACCCTTGCCCAGGCGGCGTGGGGCCGGGGTGCCGGCTGTCACCTCCCAGAGGCGTGTTACTCTGCTGTTGCACCCCGCTCCCCAACCTCTCCCCGCCATTTCTAAGCAGAGGAAACCGCCGCTGGGCAGCTTCCTCCCAGCCGCTTTCAAAATAACAGGGTGGCTGTCACCATCGCCCACGAGAGCCTTCCATTGCCCCTCTGGGAGAGGACCCAAGCAGAGCTGTTTCCCATGGGGCTGGCGCAGTGCCTGGCGGCTGCCTTCCTCTTCCTCCTCCTCCCAGGTGAGTGCCCTGCCTGGTGGTGGGGGCTTTCCTGGGGCTGGTGAGGGGGAAGTAAAGCACTTGGGGCTGGGAGCAGCACCCACATGGATCAGAGATGTGGGCTGTCTCCCTGGCCAGTTTGCTTTCCTGAAGTGGGTGGATGGGCCCTTTGCAGGTGGGTGGCTCAGTGGGGCACCTTGCTGGGGCTGCGGAGCGAGGACAGCCCTGCCGCAGCCAGCGCTGCTCTGGCTCAGTGGCTGTGGCAAGAGGCGCAGCAGCGTGTTCTCCTTTTGGCAGTGTGGTTTCACTCCAAAGTGATAGCCCAGACCCTGGCAGGGTTTTGGTGACGGGATGTGCATGCCCCTGTTGTGTGGCTGCTGGTGGTGCAGAGGGGGTTACCTCACCCCCCCTTCCCTTGGGAGGGGGTTTCTGAGGGTTTCTTAGGCTGTGCCACCACCAGCTCTCTTCCCTGGCCTGGTCTCCATGGTTGGTTTTTGACGCAGTGCCCGCGTCCTGTGGGCATATTGCTTGGTATGCATGCTGGGCACCAGGACAGAGCGAGTCACCACTGGGAGCTCTGTGGGAGGGTGTGCAGGTGGCCATCACCCCCCCAAACCCTCTGCAGGCAGAAATGGAGGGAGCCCTTGATGCCTCTCGGAGACCCCTGCCTTTGGAGGAGCTCTTGCTGGCCCCCTCTCCTGCACCCTCCCTGGTTTCTGTCCGTGGAGCACCTCTGCATCACCCAGCCTGCCTGTTCCCTCTGCTGTCCCATGTCCCTTGGCTTCTGCATTGCATCTCCATCTCTGGCAGTGGTCAGTTCTGGCACCCACTCCCTTTCCCCCACTGCTGGTGCAGGCCTTGAGTGCTTTGTCCTCTTAATTTTAACACACCAGAAACTTCCTCCAGTGATCTCAGCCTGGTTGCCGCTCCCTCTGAATAGCTGGCTGTGAGAGATGCTCTCCAACCATGAACAGGCTTGACAGCCCTCTGGCCATGATGCTCTGGTCTCTGTCGTGTGACCCCCAGTGTGCTAGGAAACAAGAAAGTTTGGAGGTCTGTTGTTACAGGACGATTACAAGGGGGGTGAAGTCCCTTGGACTTTGTGCTTCAAAGAATGAGACTGCACAGCAATTCTTTTCAGTATTACATTGCAGTCCTGTGCACATCCAGACCCACTGCTGTTTTGGGCGTGCAGCCCTCAGGTAGCATATACCCCTGCAAACACCACATGTGCTGACTCTTTGCCGGCAGGTTTGAGCACTGGCCAACGGGAGGTGACTGTTCAGAAGGGGCCCCTCTACCGCGTGACGGGGTCCCACGTCACGCTGTGGTGCAAGGTGAGCGGCTACCAGGGCCCAGCGGAGCAGAACTTCCAGTGGTCCATCTACCTGCCCTTGGCCCCTGACCGGGAGGTGCAGATCGTCAGCACCATAGACCCCTCCTTCCCCTATGCCGTCTATGCCCAGCGCGTGCACAGCCGGGGGATCTACGTGGAGCGGGTGCAGGGGGACGCCGTCCTGCTGCACATCACCGACCTGCAGGACCGGGATGCCGGGGAGTATGAGTGCCACACGCCCAGCACCGACGAGAGGTACTTTGGGAGTTACAGCGCCAAGACTAACCTCTTAGGTGGGTCCTGAAAGAGAGCCTTGCTCCCTGCTGGGCAGGGGTGCAGGCAGGCTTCCGCTGTCCCCACCTTTACACTGGGGAGAAGTGCTTGTCTCTGGGTCTCTGATAGAGGGGCAGCTGGGGAAAGGGGTGATTAATGGGACTGGTGGGCACAAATTTTCCTTCTCTCCCCAGTGTGGGATTGCTATCCTACCCCTGGCTGGCCAAGGTTGGGAAGCCCAGATGTCCCTTTGCAGGTTGCTCTGGCCGTTGTCTCCCAGCCAGGGCAAGGGAAGGGAGAGGAAGCCTCTGCTGTCCAATGGTCCAACTTTAACTTCAGGTCCTGATGCAGCCACAGCATTTCACAGCTAAGCACTTAGGAGGTCAGGAGTTTTCAGGCTCTCTGTGTTAGCTGTTGGTGTCCTCTCAGGTCAGGGTGTGGGACTTGACCCAAGCTGGATACTCACAGACGGGGGGAGGTAGCAGCTCCTGCAGAGCACTGGGAGAGGGAAGGCAACGGGGTGGAGAGGCAAAGGGAAAGGCTCTACTGTGAGCCCACCAAGTCCACGTGGTGGGATGGTACTTCCACTTGGTATTCACCCCTGTTTCCTCCTTTATCCTGGTATTGTAACAGCCTGCACAGGGGCTGGACGTTGGGGTTGCCTAACTAATACTGCCTGTAGTTTGACTGAAGAGGATACTGCAGAGAGATTCGCTGTGCTTTCTTCCCTGCTGAGGTTTCAACCACTTTGCACCTTGGCATAGGCTGATGGAAGCCTTGTCAATCAGCTACAAAAGATATTTCTCCTACGCTGTCAGATCCCTTAGGACCTGGCCATGGTTTCGTAGTGGCTAGCAGGTTGCCCATTGAGGCCAAGAGACGATTTTTCCCGTGACCAGCTGCTCTCTGTGTTTCTTCCCCATGCCCAGTGATCGCAGACACCCTCTCGGCTTCCATGGCGCCTCAGGTCCTCACCCGTGCCGAAGGGGACACGGTGGAGCTCACCTGCGAGGTGTCCAAGTCCACCGCCCAGCACACGCATCTCTCTGTTGGCTGGTACCGTCTTCAGGGAGCAGGAGAGAGCCATGCCGAGGAGGTCCTCACTCTCTCCAAGGACTTTGTCTTGAGGCCAGGGCCCTCTTACACGCAGAGGTTTCTGGCAGGGGACGTGCGGCTGAACAAGGTTGGGAACACCACATACAAGCTCTCCATCGGGGGAGTGGAGCTGTCTGACCAGGGGCAGCTGTACTGTGAGGCAGCTGAGTGGATTCAGGATCCCGATGAGACGTGGAAGGACATCTCCCGCAAGCAAACAGAGAGGACATTGCTGATGGTCATGAGCCAGGGTAAGGCCCTTGCAAACTCACAGGTTGGCTCCAACTCCTTTGCACACCGAGGGCCCTATAACAGCAGCCTTCAGTGGCCTTTGCCTGCCTCCGCCGCAGCCCAGGGACCCACCGGTGGGTCTGGCTGCCTCCGTCGGGCGCGAAGGGGACGGACTGGGCTCAGGGCCATGGCAGCCCCTGGTTTGGGAGCTGTTGGTCCTTCTTGCTTTGGAGGCTCATGCAGCTGAGTCTCCGATGCTGGCAGTGATCACGCAACCTCACAGGGCCACGTGAGGTGTTAGCAGAGAGAGCAGTGTGTGCCCGCAGCAGCCTGGCTCCTTGGCAGCGTTAAGCTCCTGTGTGTGGAAAACCACGTTGTTAGACTGCCTCGAGGGTCTCACAGCCTCAAAAACTGAAGTACGTAACAGTCAGCTGCCTGTTGCAGCGCCCTGGCCGTGGGCACCGAGGGACATGGGGGTGCGCTGCGTGTGCTGCGTGGCTCTGGTGTCTGCTGGAGGTGGCTTGTCTGTCCGTGCTGTCACAGGTCTGCTGGCCTCCAGAGCAACTGGCGTTGCTGCTTAGTAGACCATCCCTGTGTCTCTTCCTAGTAGTTCATATATGATGGCAATGGGACTGGGTCAGACTGTGCTTTGAAGCGGCTGCACTAAGCTCCTGGCTTATGCTCTAGGAAAACGTAGTATTAGGTATTTAGAAAGAGGAGACTTAGACCTGCTACCGCATAGGAGATGGATTAAAATAGGAAAGTATGAAAACCAGCCCCTTGCCAGTGCTGCCCATCCTCCCTGGCTCCACTCTGTCCCTGCCAGGCACCTCCTGTTCCCTCTGCCCCGCAGCTTCCCATGGCTCCTGATATCCCCAAGCTCTTAATTGCCTCGCTCAGGGCCGGTAGGAAAATCCCTCTCTCCCCACTGCCCTGGGATGATTACAGTGCTGTGCTGCTACCCCTCTGAGTGCCCTGCCCGCCATCCCTCCTGCCGCAAGCTCTTTGCTGGCTGCGGTCCCTCACCCTGCTGCATGTGGGTAGCTGTGTCCAGAGGAAGGGAAAATCTCTCTGTCCCACCAGCAAGTTTCACCTCAATGGAGCCAAGGCAAGGCTGTGTGTAGTTGATGCCCTTTAGCGTAGGCAGTAGTATGTAACAAAATGGGAGCAAGCCTCTCACAGAAAAGATGCTTGGGGAGGTGGTGTACCACGTCCCCGTGCCTCGGGGCGGATGGAGGAGGCTGCAGAGCCGGGGCAGTGAGGGGAACTGGTGTCTCGTGGGAGGGTGGTGAGTCAGAGCAGGAAACCAAAGAAACCGATGGGTATGGACCAAACACCCTGTGTGCAGCTCAGGGGAGCAAAGCACCGGGCCGGGGGAGGGAGGTGCAGGCTCCCACTGTCAGAGCCCAGTTCCAGAAACCTGGCTGACTGGCAAAGCTTTGTTCCCCTTACTGCGCACTGTTTGCAGCAATGGCTTTCCACGTCTGCTGCTGCCTGGCGAGCAATGGCAGTCGGTGTGCTTTCCTGCATCTGCTTGTTTAAGAGGGTTCATCATGACTAGTGGTGTGTGGCTTCGGGTACTGGGGCCACACGATTGCTTAGAAATAGAGAAACCTCGTCAGAGTTTAATATTTGCGCTATGGTAGCCATTAAGGGCAGAAAGGAGGCAATGGTGGTAAGAGGACAACGTGGTGGTTGTATTAGTCGCTGATATTGCCAGAGGGAAACGGTGGCAGGCGTCCGAGCCCTCCATCACATCTGCAGGGCTGGGAGCTCCCTCCAGTGCCCCGTGGGAGAGCCTGGGCTGTGGGACTGAGCACCCTGTTGCACTGGGAGCCGGCAACCACTCTGACCATGGCCAGCTGCTCCAGAGGTTTCTATAAACTTTCTAGCAAATATTTGGGAATGCCAAACATATCTGCAGCGGCTGGGATTCCTGTTCGCAAACTGTTTATGAACCATTGTTTAAATTCACAGGGTACTCTGCTTTCAATAAATTATTTGAGCCCTTCCAGTGGCAGTCTGGGAGCTGCTCTGTTTTACCTTCAAACTACAGCACGTAGCCCTGCCCTTGTTGTTAGACATGAGGGGCACCACAGTGACCCAAGGAGATGGAGCAGCATGAGCCAGGCTGCCTGCCCAGGGAGTTGGGGCTCAGTCCTGCCTCTTGGTTTTCGGTCGTGCCACCGCTGTGTGGGGTCATGGTGCAGGGTTTTGGGGCACCCCGTGGATCTCTGCCTGCAGCCACTCTCCAGCTGGGCTGAAGCTGGGAACCAGGGGGCATTAGTGGCAGAGGCTTTGAATGCCCTGTGGGGAAGGTGAGTCGTATCACAGGACCCAGAGACAGGGTCCGTATCTCGGGTGCAGCTGACTGCTCAAGAGGGTCTGCCAAGGAGAAGATGACTTTGTGCTCCCCCTCTTTGCTTGGTACCTGCTGCTGGTTGGTAGGGGGGGCAGGACAGGGGCTAGGAGATGACCTCCAGCTCTTCTTGCTTCCCTCCAACCTCCCCATGCTGCGACAAGTCTTGACATTTCTGCTTTCTGTAGGAACTAACCCAACTTTGAGAGCCTCTCTTGCCCACATCCCGCAGCAGCCAGTGAGGGCTGCAGTATGTAGGACCAGCAGCATCAGATTCGGACAAGCAACTTGAATGCCAGCCCTCCATGTACCTCCTCCCACCACAGACAGCAGAGTTAAACACACCACTGAGTGATAAAGCCTTTTTGTGCCCCTTTCTGGTTTAAGTTATATTTGTTACATGAAGCAGAACAGCTGGGTTAGGGCAGCCCTCGGTTCAGATGCCTGAGCGGAGCTGGGGGTGGCTGTGGCCCGAGGCCATCCCGATGGGTGCTCTGCTCTGGGGGGTTAGCTGCCCCAAAGCGGGGAGCTCAGCAGCTCAAGGCTCTGGTGCTTCCTCCACCTGCAACTGCTGGTTGGTGTCTGGAGCTGGCAACCGTCTCCCCATGGGCAGAGTTTTCCATCCTGATCATTTTTCTAATGAAACAAAATGTTTCAATAAAGAATTCCCTCCCATTTCCCTCTGCACAGCTGTCAGTGCTGCCAGGTGGGAGGGAAGCGTGGGCAGGGCCATCCAGTACCCTCTTTACTTTTGATTGCCCACAGGCAGAGACCTCTCCGTGGACATTGCTGCTGCTGAAACCTCCCTCTCTGAAGGGGATACCTTGCACCTAAACTGCATGGTGGGAGCCCAGAAGAGCAGCAGCAGGCACTTCCAAGTGCTTTGGCTCCTCAACGGTGTGGAAGTGGCCAGGTTTGACCCCCATGGAGTATTGATTTGGGAGGATGAATATGAGGAGAGAGCCAAGCTGAGGCAGCTCCGAGCTTTCAAGCAAAGCAACGTGGTTTATGTCCTCATCATTTACGAGGTGGGGCTGAAGGACAACGGTACGTACCACTGCTCTGTTTCAGAGGTGAAGACTCCTGGAGACGTTCACAGCATCCAAACCAATATGTCATCAGGCATCCAAGTCAATGTGAAGCCGATAGGTTAGTAAATCCTAATGGCTGCTCTTCTGGGTAAAACCTGCAGTGATCCCTGACTGGGGAATGCTTCAAGTCTGGCCTCATCTTGGCAGGGGCAACAGACCTGCTGTTTGCAGTAAGAGCGCAAATGTGCCATAGATTTTGGCAGATAATAATGGGAAAAGCACTTGCTCTGGCAAACATTTGCATGACAGATGCAGCAGCTGTCAGCAAAGTGTAAACCTTTAGCTCAGTCTCTTTGCAATAAGTTTTGGGCCAAATAGGTAGAGTTCTGGGGAGGTTGAGTCCTCCTGTGTCCTTGGTACAGAACATCGTGAGCAATGCCTATTGCTACTCCTGAGGATCACAGGATGACCCAGCAGAACAGGTACTTCTGGATGGGGGGATCATTGCCATTTCCATCAGGGTGCTCTCTCTGGTTTGGAGGGATGACTTGTGAGAAACCACTCTAAGAAAGGCGTGTAAGAGACTCTTGGTTTCCTTGCTCTACAGCTAGATGATGGCTATTCTGATATAGCAGGAGCTGCCTGTTGGGACTCTGTTTCTTAAGTATTTCTTTATGTATCCATGTCTCAGGAAAGGCATTAAAGAAGGAAAAAAAAAAATACAACCCCACAAAGCCCTCTCCAAAGTTATAAGAAAAGGCTGGTTGAAAATTTCAGAAAAATCCTTTCTTTTTCCAATGTCAAGATTTATCTAGTCTCTCCATTTAATGCCACAGTATCTCTGGCTTTTTCTGAGGCGCACAACACAACCCCCTCCCATGCAGTAACTGTTTTTTGCAGAGAGCCGCATGCGCCTGTCTGTGTCCACCAGCACACCACAGGTCCTGGCAGGAGATGCCTTGATCCTCCTTTGCGAGGTGCAAGGAGCAACCGGCCCTGTGTCCGTGCAGTGGTGGCACCTGCCACCGCAGCACCCGGGTCCGCGGGTGCCGGTGGCCACCATGGAGCGGGATGGCACCCTGAGCCTGGGCAGCGCCTACCAGGACAGCGCGACTCGGGGGAGCCTTCGGCTGGAGAAAGTGGGCTCTGGTGCTTTCACCCTGGTGATCCCCAACACGTTGGACGAGGGTGACGGCGGGCGGTACGGGTGCGAAGCGACTGAGTGGTCCCGAGGCCAGAGCTGGACAGAGGAGGGGGAGACAGCAGTGACAGTCAGCTCCATGGGTGAGTTGGGCCACCCCTATTTCTGGGCTTTCAAGCTGGACATGCTGGAGGCAAGGCTGGAGGAGCAGGTGGACATGTGGGTAGGACAGAGGTCTGCTGTGCCCTGAGCTCCGCTGCTGCTGCAGGGTGACCTGGGGCTGATCACTTGGCCCTGGAGTGCCTCAGTTTCCCCATTTCTAGCAGGGTGCTCAAGTGAGATGTTTTGGGAGAGACAAGTGGACACAACAGCTAAAGTGTCCAGAGACCTAAAAGGCAGCGGCTTACTCAGCAGGTCTTTCTGACTGTCTCTTTAACTTGAAATACAAAATATCTGTTCTAGCAGCATAATTACTTACAGTAATTAAGCTCAACAAAGGCACTTGCTGAGTAGTACGGCGGCCTTTGTCAAAGACACACCCCTGGTGCTGACATCTGATTGCTTCTCCTGCCCTCCTGTCTGAGCGCAGAGCCACTAACCTCCCTGGCATGCAATGCCCACACCATTTCTTCTTTTGACTGCTGGAATGGGTGCCTTTATGGAGAGGCAGCTTTTGGCTGTGATTTAGGGTGTTTTTCTTTTCTTATTCCTGGGCCAGGTGCCTGAGAGCACCAGTTGGGCCACAGGAGTTTTTAGGCTTTTGTGGAGGGTGGAAAGAAGCAGCAAACAGGGCAGCAGCATCAGCAGAGGATCCCCGGCTCCCTGCCACGGGGTGAGACTGGGGAGTCTGGAAGAGAGAGGGCACTCAGGGCTGCCGGAGGGCTGGGGGTGGGAGAGCGGGGGGCGAGGTAGGGGAGGCTAGGGACTGCGTGGGGCTGGAAGAGCACGGTGAAACTCGGAGGGCAGTGGCACCGTCAGAGGAGCAGCAGGACTGCTGGCTGCCATGGAGCTGTGGTGGCTGGGGCAGCAGGGACGGTGCTGCGTGGGAAGGTTGGTGGCGAGGTGGCATGGGGCAGGATTTCTGTCCCAGCACCAAGGGCTCTCTCCTCCCAAGCAGGTCTCGGTCTGCATGTCACGCTGAGAAGCCGAATTGCCACCGTCAGATATGGGCAGAGTTTTGAACTCGTCTGCCAAGTGAGCGCCAGCTACACCTTCGAGGAGGTGCCGGTGTCTGTGGGGTGGCTCTTCCAGCCCAGCCCACCCACGGGCCACTACCACAAGCTGGTCTGGGTCCTTCCCAACGGCACCGTGGCCTGGGGGGCAGCGCAGCAACACTTCCAGGGGAAAGCCCAGCTGACAAAGGCTGCCACCTCCTTCAGACTGCGCATCCACAGTGCCGTGGCTGCCAATGAGGGGACGTACCAGTGTGAGGTGGAGGTCTGGAGGAGGAACGCCCTGACGCTGGGCCAGCCGGCAGCCACCGCCAGGTCCAATGCCGTGGGGATAAAGGTGGTGCTGCCAGGTAAGCAGTGCCATGGGCGCTTCTTCAGCAGAGATCTCTCCTTCTGTAACTTTAAATCCATCAAACACGGCAGGAGCAACCAGGACCACTGATGGCTGGGGTGTCCCCAGCTGGGTCACCTCCTGGGGCCACACAAGGCAGTGCTGCCTGTCGTGTTTCTTCTTCAGCACCCACAGCTCCTGACAACACTCCTGGAGGCAAATTCAGTGTTGGGGAGTGGCAATGTCTATTTGTTTGCAGATTATGACAAGCATATAGGGATCAGCCTTACCACTAGGATTTTAAGCCTTGTTTCTGGGAAGAAATAGTCCCCCCAAGGAGCCCAGCTGAATGCTGGGGTGTGAGGTGCCTCTCATGGCGTGGGCTTCTGGAGGGCGGTGGAGAGAGACTGGCCACCAAAGATGGTGCTGGGAGATGTCTGTCCCCCTGAGCTTCCCTTGGTGTATTCAAGATGGGCTGAGAAAGTGCCAGGGCTTTCTGCCAGGCTGGGAGCCAGCACTGAGCCGTAAGGTGCTGGCAGCTCTGGGCAGAGGTATCTCCTCCCTGGCACGGCTGGGGGCCCTGCCCAGGGTTCCCTTTTATGGCCACCTCTGCAGGCAGGGTCCGCGGCACCGCTGCGCCTGCCAGCATCGTGCAGGGAGCCTCATCCTCTTATGGAAGAGAGATGTTGCAAATGCACCGCAGCCCCCCGGCCGGCCCGCCGTGGGCCTGCTCCCCACCACCCCCGGCAGCAGCACAGTGTCAGCTTGCCCTGCTCACGACTGGGGCTGCTGGAGGAATTGAAGGGATTGTCCCGGCCAAAACCTCTGAGCCTGTGGAGGCAGGCATGAGAATACGTTTGGGTTTTTTTCTAGTGTCTGTTCTTCCAGCAAAGGAGAGTTCTTGCTCTTTTTTTCATGCACTAAGTGCTCCCTCCTCTTATCCTTGGATTTTTGGGATCATAACCCAGTCAACTGAAATTATGCATTTTCTGTGTTTTTTAACTGATGGGTTTGCTGTAGCGTAAGCTGATACATTCCCTTCCCTGTTCGGGCTCGTTTCCATGGTGCTCTCCCTCCTGCTCCACTGCTGCTCTTTCCTTGCCCCTGCGGAGCTGGGTGCTGGGGTGCTCCATGTTACACCTGAGCTACAGCCAGCCCCGGGGTGGGGGGGTCTACGGGAGGCTAGGGGTGACAACAGACAGCGGCTGTGAGCGTACATTAGTCATGTAAATGGCATTAAGATGAGCGGTGTAGCTGTAGATCGTCTACGCAGAGGAGACGGTAGCAGCGGAGCAGCAAGATATTAAAACATTTGGCTCCAAATGTATTGCAGCCATTACTGGATACCGCGATGTTGTAAAGCTGGTGGGAACTGGGAGGGGGTGATGCGCAGTGGGAGGTGGCTGCTGGCTCTAGTACTGTCTCTCTGAGAAAGGCAGCATGAGCCAGCAAAGGATATTTGGGAAGGTAGAGAATAAGTCTGGGAAGGAAGCTGGGTCTAGCAGCAATGGGATGAGGCGAAGCTGCAGAAAATGAAGCTGCAAATTATGAAAATCACCAGCCTGTTTGTTCGCATATAAAATCTCATAGTTGGAGCCTGCAGAGATACTCCAGTTCTTGACTTTTGCTTCGGCACTTTATTTACCACTCGGTGTCAGTCGGCACTTCAGGAGTTTAAATGCCACTGTGGATCTGGTAGCTTCAGACAGGAGGGACGTCCGTGAAAGGTCATAACAGGCGGGGAAGGAGGACAGGTCCTTTCTGTCTCTGACTTCTCAGGTAGTTCAGCATCTGACCCTTGGTGGGGTCCCATAATTAGTGCCCTGGGCAGGCAGTTGCTGCCCAGCCCTAGCAGGGATGCTTCCACCAGCCTCTCAGTGCAGCCACCCGCGGTGGCTTCCCATGGCTCTGGAGTGAGCCACGGGGGGGCTTTGCAGCAGCCACCCCTCTGGCTGGCCGGCCCGCACGGGTTGCTGCAGCAGCCGTGCCCTTCTGCATGTCCCGCTGCTCCCAGGCTGGGCAGAAAGTGCGGCATCAGCAGGCAGGGTTCACAGTAACACAGGCAGTGAGAGGCTCGGCTTGGTTAATTAAATTGAAATTGAAAGGGAAAACAGCACTACGTCTTTCTGTGCCAAAGGAAAAGGCAGGCAGCTGCTCTGCCCTTTTCAGTAATTGATCTTTAGCAGGAGCGAAAGAACTGAGAGGAGATTTAGAGTTGAAAGAAAGGGGTTTTGCAGTAAGTGTTCTGCTTCCTCTCGAGGTGATCTTCTCCGAGAGCATAACAGCAATTTTTCTCATCAAAATCAAGTGCTCACAAGCGGTTCCTGTGGCTCCTCTCTAAGCTCTAGTAGCTTTTGCTTCTCTGGAGTATTTTCCACCCCAGGGGGTGTCAGGCCGGGCCATACTCAAGTCGGAGGCCCCCCCAGGCAGTTTGCTGTCTCCTGTGCTGGCAGGCTCTCTGGGTTTGGGGAAAGGTCCTGGGTTTTACCCACGCATCCCTGACTGCAGCAGCGCTGCCAGGAGGAGCTCACTTGGAGGGAGGCGCACGTTTTGGTCCGGCATGGCCCCACAGCTGACTTTTCTGGAGCTCCTTTTTGCTGGGAGATGTGGCAGAGCTGCTTGCGATGAGCGGCAGGGCTGCTCTTCTGGCATGCTCTCACTGACAGCTGGAGCTGGGGAGGGCACATCCATGTGTCTGACATGGAAAGACTGAGCCTGATGTCCACCACCTCCCCTGGTCCTGCCTGCTCCTTTCCTGTGGCCTTTGAAATGAGGCCAAAGTCTCCAGTTAAAATACCTGGGAGCATTTTTAGTTTTCCCTTTGGCATAGTTCACTTCTGGGTCCCTCCTGGACTTCAGCAGGCTGGCTGAATGATCTTCCTGCTGTACCGAGCAGCTGCAGATAAGAACCAAGTGTCTTATTTTATCTGGTGTGATCAGTTCACCTGCCACAGAAACACAGGATGGCTGAGGTTGGCAGGGACCTCTGGAGGTCATCTGGTCCAACCCCCTGCTCAAGCAGGGCATCCTAGAGCCATTTGCCCTGGAGCAGCTTTTGAATACCTCCAAGGAGGGAGACTCTCCCTCTCTGAAGATTTGTGCTTCCTTAAAGCTGGCTCTGGGCTGGGTGCACTTGTCACTGCTGAAGTTGGAAGACATCAACTTGCGTCTGGTTCCTAAGTATGCCCAAGTCTACTTGGTCTCTGCGTGTGTGGATCTGGTGAATTTGCACCGCTTCCTAATTAGGGTGATTGCCTTCCCATCTATTCTGGTTCTTACCCTTACCTGTTCCTTCAGAGCAGGGCATGTGCACTGGGAAATGCAGGACAGCACTTTGTCGATCCCTTGGGAGCAGCCACCTCCTGGTGACTGTCACTGCCGAAATCCTCACCACTGAGGTGAGGCAGTAAGCAGATTATTGGGACTTAAGGACACGCAAGGCCTAGTATGGAGGAAACTGTCTACCTTTTGGTGAAAATGTGTCTGTTTGCAGTGTGGAGAGAAGAGGAGGAAATGCAATAGGGTGCAAACAGAAAAAGCAGCGTAAGTGGATGTGAGCTGGGAGATTTTGTTGGCAAATTCGAGATGGAGGCAGGGGCAATGCACAGGGATGTCAAGGGCCATCAGTTGGGGTATTTTGCATTTACTGGCCTCAGGAGAGACAGTGATGGCCTCTGAAGTGGATTGCTTGAGTTTTGAGAAGAAATGCTTGAAGGAAGGGGAAATGTGTGGGCTTTCTCCTGTGGTGTTCCTCTTCCCCATCAGTCTCTGCAGGAGAAGCTGCAGCTCCCTCCTGGTCCACAGGCTTTCTCCCTTAACCCGCTGCCATTGCATCCCTTGGGGAGCTGCCACAGAGGACAGCACCCTTCTGAGCCTGCGGCTGAGGGCACAGGGCTGAGACGCTCCGCGGGGACATCTCAGCATGTCCTCTGCAGCCTGCCCCCAAACCAGCACCCAGGGGCTGAGCTTAAGGGAGCTCGGTTGCCCCCAACCTCCACAGCACAGGGCGTCCTGCTGCTTAGCTCGTATGCAAGGAAAATCCTGTGAATGGAAACTCTGCCTACAGTCCCTTAAAACCCTGATGGTGTCTTGTGCTGAGTAATTTCTGTCTACCCATGGGTAGATATCTGTGCGTACTCCTTCACCTGACTGCTAGCCCCATCTGACAGAGGTGGTGTCTCAGTGCGGAGGGGTGGGCCGAGAGGAAACGCAGGCAGTCGGAGGCCCTTTGAAGAGACCAGTTTGCAGCCTTTCTGCTGCTGGAGGAGAAGGAAAGGTGCCAGCAACAAGTGATGTGCGGCGGGAGGGGGGTGCCTCAAACCAGGAGCAGCACAGGCACGTCGTCCGGGAGCGACCGTGTACCCTGCCGGGGGGCAGAGCTGCAGGCAGCACCGGAGCTCTCCTCTCCTGAGCTGCTCAGCGCTAAATTGAACAATTGCCGGCTATAATCACAGCAGATGTTCAGGGCCGTGTTATGTGGTTTCCGGTTAATAACCACAGCAAACACCTGAGATGGCGACTGTTAGCAAAACCCACGCAGGCTCTGTAGTCTCTCTGAGATAAAAGACGCTTGTTCACAGCCTCCAAAGCTGTGGGCTGGTTTTGTCACTTACGTGTGAGCCTGCCAATAGGAGCAGTGGTAGACAGACATTTTTGCTTCAGACAGAGGCTTTGCGGCTGAGCTCACACACAGCTGCCTCCATCCCCCCATTCCTGCCCCGTGGTCCCGAGGTGCCTCCTCTGTTACTCCTCTGCCCAGTAGCACCCAGTGATTCCTCGCCACGGTTCAAATAAGGGTGTGTGTATTTGCTCTTTGCCTCCTTCCCCCACCTCCCTTAGCGCTCCTGCTCCAGCATCCCCTAATGGGTCTTCATCCTCTGAGCACCCTCTTCCTCCCTCCTCTTTCGGCAGGTCTCTCAAACCAGCCTTATTCCTCTCCTTGCCAGCATCCCTGTATTGGCAGATGCAGCTAGTGTGATTATTTTGTTTCTCCATTTTAGAAAGCAAGCTTCAGGTATCTACAAAAGAGAGCTCTGTGGAGATTGCCGGCGGTGCTGACACAGCCATTGAGTGCAGGATCATGTTTGCCCAGAGTAATTCTCAGTTCACTGTTACCTGGTACCTCCTACCTCCTCCTCCGGCAGATGCAACCCCCCTAAAAATCGTAAGGGCTAACTACAGCAGCATTCTGGAATACGGGGCTGAGTTCAGCTCTCCTACACAAAAGTCCCGGTTCCTGAGCCAGAGGGTGTCCAGCGACGTCTTCTGGCTGCGGATACTCTCTGCGAACCCCAGGGACCAGGGCAGGTACTACTGTGTGGTAGAGGAATGGCTCTGGCTGGTGGACGGCTGGCACAAACTCGGAGAGGGAGCATCGGGAAGGACCACGCTGGAGTTCAAGCTCCCAGGTGAGCGGTGGTTATCTCTCACATAGATGCTGCTGGAGGAGGTTGGACCTATTTATGATGGGGCACCCACCAGGCCTTTCATAAACTGGCAGGGCTTAGGAGAACCAGTGGCTCTGGCATTGGATCTGAGACTTAGGGATGCAGGAGGTGTCAGTGCCTCTCAAAGGGAAATAGGGAATTAGGAGGATTTATCACATCCTCCCAAACCAACCAAGCTGGTATTTTTGCCACTGGCAGATGATGTCTAATGCTTCATAACAAAGTGAATCGTGGCATTTTCTTTTCACTCCAACGCATGGTGCACTTGGTTGGTTGTACAGTGCTGTGAACAGAGTAGTCCTTTCCTGGTATTCCTGAGCATCCTGAAGCACGATACAAAGTTTTCCCTACCCTGCTGCGCATAGCCACAGAGAACGAGGCTGAATGCTCAGCTGCTCCCACCTTGGGCACTGAGCTGCTGGGGTGCACGGTGGGTCTCCCTGGCTCAGTTCTTCCCTCTCTCTCAACATGACCTGGCTTATGGTTGCAACCCTAAATAAAGTGGATCAGAGAATTCCAGCTTCCTAAATAGCTTTTGGTCCAAAGGATTCCTCATCACTTATTCGAAGGGGGAGGGAAGTATTACAGCAGAGGGTTGTGAACAAAGGGCAGAGATGATGGGGAGGCGGGGAACAGCCCAGGGAGAATGTGCCACAGGAGCAACGGGGCCTGTGGGTGTCCTGCCAGACGGTCTTCCGAGAGGCCATCCCCATCCCCCATGGTTCACTCTGGAAGATTTCCATCAGCCTGCAGGCGCAGACAAGAGTATTTCTATGGCAGCACAACACTGCAACGTCTCTTTCTGCTTGCCTCTTCTGCCCTAGAGCGCGAACTGCACCTGGAGAAAACCAACCGCAGCATCTCAGCGAGGGAGGGTGAGGAGGTGACGCTGCACTGCCTGCTGCGGGGCACCCGCCCGCCTGCCGCCCGCCTCTCGGCCACCTGGTTTCGGGGGGAAGATAGTGGCCACACCGGCTCCCTGCTCACCCTCCACTGCGACGGTGCCATCGAGTACCCCCAGGAGAGCCTGGCGGGGAGGCTGCACCTCCGCCGCCCCACCGCAGGTGACTTCAGCCTGACGATGCACAGTGTGAAGAAGAGTGATGCTGGGGTCTATCATTGCCAGGTGCAGGAGTGGCAGCAGCAGAGCGAGGGGAAGGACTGGGCTCTGCAAGCCTTGGCACGCTCGGAGTACATTCAGCTCACCACCATCCCGCCAGGTAATGCTGCTGGGCGCGAGGGGCTGCTCACCCCGCACTGGCTCCCCTCAGCCGTGCTGGGGTGCATGGGGGGGATAATGGCAGCTCTCTTCTGGTGATGCTGGATGCAATGGCAAGGATGCAGCAGGACTGGGAGGACTTGCTAAGGGATTGCAGCGGGGGTCAGTGCTGGGGAGATCGCCAGAGTTTTGTTGGGAGCCAGGGGAGGGAGGGGAGCCCTTTGAGGGACACGTGCTATGGGCCTGGCAGGGGGAGGCAATGAGATCCCATTCCCAGTCCCATCAATCTGCCAGGGCTGAAACCGAGGTGCTTGGCATTGTAAACATTGGAGGTGGTGGTCAGATGAGACATCAAGAGCTCTGACCGTGAGGCACATGGTCCAGAGGGTACCATTGAGTGCACTTGTGTCTGCAGTGCTTTGCTGGCTCGTGGGCTTTCTGCGGGACCATGGGCACAAAACCCTGCTCTCAGTCATGCCATTTGGGCCAGAACACTAACTGTCTGGGGGAAAAAATTCTTGGTGTGATTTTTCTGGCAAGTCCATCTCCAGTGAGGTCTCTAAAAACAGCTTCTGTCCTCTTCGGTTGAGTTGGGGTGCATGCCGGATGCAAAAACGGAGCTGGACTCTGCATACAGAACTTCACATAAATATAAGCAAAGGTTTTAGTGAGGCACACACAGTATTTTTAGGGAGGTAACAGGCAGGAAAAAGGTACTGTCTTGTTGCCTCTTTGGGGAAATAGGAGGCTCGGATGACCCATGTGGAGGAAAAAATATGAATGGTGAAATCAGCCATGTTGCACCCAGATGAGATGATCCTGCAGTTCTTCTCATACCCTCAGCCCTGGAGTTGCCATGCTCGAAGCCAGCCTGGGTGGTGCTCACATGTGGTTATAGCTTCTGCAGCAATTACCAATGCTGACCGACATGGAAGAACTCAGGGGGGCCGTGCAGAGCCCTTCCTTGTGCCTGTTGCTGGCACAGGCAGGCACGGAGCCTACTCACATGGCTCTGCACCTACAGCAGAGCTAATCTGGATTTAATTGCACAGGGAAGGACTGACAGGGCTTCATCCCCCTGCTGTTATGTTCCTGCTGTTGTCCATCACGGCTAGCACTCAGATTTCTCCTTCATCAGCCCCCTCTGTCTCTTGTTACCTGGTACTGGTGGAGTAACCATTGCTAAAATTGCTCAGTAACTGCTGAAAAATTCTCCTCCAATTTTTGTATGAGTGTTTTGGCCAAGTAGTTTTCATGATTTTCACAAAATCCAAGAGATTAGCTGGGTGTTTTTTCTTTCTCTTTTGTGTGTGTGTGCGTGTGTCTGTGTGTGTGCGTGTGTCTGTGTGTGTGCGTGTGTCTGTGTGTGTGTGTCTGTGTGTGTCTGTGTGTCTCTGTGTGTGTTTCTCCAGTGATGCAGGTATCTCAAAACGCCCCTCTGGCTCACAGATTTCAATGTTTCAGAGTTTTCCAAGGGGTAAGGACACAGCCACGTGCAAGTGTACCTGGAACCAGGAGTAACTTCATCTCTAATACCTGATGCTGCCCTTAAGGATACCTCCCTACTACTGCGGAGGCATTCATGTAGTGGAGACTTTGTGCTGTTTTCCTACGGGAGAGTAAACGATGCTTCTGTCTATATGGATGGGGCACAGAGCTTCAGAGGTAGAGAGATAAAAGCCAGTTTCACAGCCAGGAGTAGCCCCCAGGCTGGTTCATCCCTAGGGTCACACATAGCCCACCAGGCTGCGTGGGTATCCCATGGACAGCTTCAAATCAGCAGACCTGCATGCTCAGCATGGTTCTGCAGAGCAAGTGTAAAGCATGTGTTGAGTGAGGAGGAGAATTGAGGAACAACACTTTGAGAGGGATAAAACAGACCCAAAGGAATTGGCATGCCCCTTCATGGTAGGCCAGGTGCATCTGAGGTCGGTCTGTGGTGTTGAAACTGTGTGCCAAGTGAGGAGATTTTGATGGCCAGGATTAGTTGGTGGCTGTAAGGAACCTGGGACAAAAATGGAGAGACTGCAAACAGCTTTTCAGCTAGCGTGGGGCTGACCAAGCCCAGTCTTTCGCAGTACCCAGAGGGTTCACCAGCTGTACAGGCAGCCTCCACCTCAACCGGGGAGCTGGCCTGCAGGAGCTGCTGGGGATGAGGCTCACAGCTGCCTGCAGCTCAGCGTGGCTGAAATAGGATAGCAGAGAGGCAGAAGCAAGGAGGGGCAGGTGTCTGGGGGAGACAGGACCTCCTTGATCTGGTTTCCTTTGCTTTTCTCTTGTCCCTCCTTGTTCTTTGGTGCAGCCTCTGGCAGACCTCTGCCTCACCCTGCTGTCACGGGTGTCGGGCAGGGACCCAGGCGGTGAAGGGTACGTGGCTTCTCCTTACTGAGCCCAGCCTGGAAAGGTTTAGCTGAAGAGCTGTGCTGTTTATGTTGGGATGCTTCAGCTGAATGAGCCGGGGCCCTATCTGACCTCCCAAAACAAGAAATTGAGGCAAATTACCTGGTTTGTCTCCCCCTTCTCCTCAGGTAGCCAGTATGAATTCTCAAAAATTGATAGGTGTTGAAGACTGAGGGGAAAAATAAGAAGATAACCTATAGAAACAGTAGGAGACAGAAACTCAAACTAGATTGGGGCCTCACTCACTTTTTTTTCTTTCTTTTTCCCTCCAGAGTCAACTGCTTTTTCTAAGATCTGCTCATCGCCACCACTGCTGAACTTCATCCTCTACTTACCGCTGGTTCTGATCCTTCTCCTGGCCCTTGCTGGCTTCTGCTGGTGCTTCAAATTCAGAAAAAGCAAAAAAGGCAACGTCACAGGAGACCAGCTGATGGAACTGCAAGGGGCTGGAGAGGTCAAGAAAATCTAGCTGGCAGTTGTAACTTGAAGGAGCGGAGCTGGACAGCTGAGGAGGACTGAGTACTTGCAGAGGGGCTTTTTCTTGTTTTGCAGTAGCTCTTGCAATGAGTCTTTGAAATTGCGTGTTTACTTTCAATGGAACGAAGCAGTTTTGAATTACTAAGCAAACAGGGTTTTCATAACAGGTGTTCCTGTCTCTTAGGTTAGGTGCCCACCCATTTCACACTCTGTTCATTGTGGTATATTTGAGGTCCTTGCAGTATGTGTCTCCCCATGTGGATGGAAGTGGTGTTATTCCCCTGCAGGTATAAGGGAAAAAACAGCTCTTTTTGCACTGAGACAAAAAAGTATCAAATTGCTGCTTATTTTAGATGACTTGACAAAATCTATGTGGGTGTGCAGGCTAAAAACCAGTGGCAGAGCCTGAAATGGAGTGTTGGTGTCCCATTGAAGGCATTGCACTTGCCTTTGGCCATCCCTTGCTGGGGAAGCTCTCAGACACTCCCCTCGTTCTGAGAGCACCTGTGCCCAAAGAGCATCTTCTCCAGAAGGAAAATGGGTCTTCATCACAAAACCTGTCACAAGAAGATGAGGACTGAGCAAGGCTGGCTGGGGCTGAAGAAAGTCCATAGCAGGGGCACCACAACCATCCACAAAAAAGGAATCCTGCTGACCGAAAAAGGGACTCTCATGGAGTCTTAGACCCCAGAAGGAAGAAGGGGACACCAAGCCATCTTGGAGATGACTGTACAAAGACATTCCAATTTCTTCCTTTGCTGGGACTGCTGTAGGAGAAGACAGCATCCAGCCCCGTGTGCCTGGGCTGTCTGTGAGTCAGGAAGCTGCGCATCAGACACCTCCAGGTTGTACCGTTGCAATATATTGGGATGCAAGCAGGATCAGCCACCTGCAGCTTTTACAGCACAGGAGCAGCCTATATCTGTAAAGGGTTATGTGTGTGATGTAGTAGTAAATTGGGGGTACTTCTTGAGCTGAGGTGCTGCAGAGCTGGTACCAAGCCTCCCATTGCCTTGACATCCTGGCAGGCTCCCAACTGTGCCTTAAGGCAGCATGGAGAGAATATGTAAATCCCCAGGGCTCTTACCTGGGTAGAGAAGAGGTCTTACTGGCCTGCGTGCTGGATGGACAATGAACCCCTGTGCCTTCCCTCTTGGAGAGGGGCCTTCCTGAGCATGTGCCCCTTATGCTAGCTGCAAAACCACCTGAGTCCTCCTCCTAGCTGCCACTGAGTAATATGCAGGCTGTGCCCCAGAAATTTGGCACAAGAAGCCAGTAAGACACTGTCTCAGGGGTCTGTTCCTCCTGGCAAAGCCATGTGTATGCTTGTGGGGCAGCTGCTGTATGTCCTGGGATCCAGCTCAGACTCTCCTTTTCAAGGCTGAAGAGCTGTGCTACCTGAGGGCTGGCTGGTTGATGCATTAGAGGAAAGGTACCCAACCCCTAATTGTGCAAAGTGAGCCATGGTCCCAGCGAGTTGTAAGGTCAGGTGTCAGGGCAACACTCAAAGCACTATGCTTGCATAAAAGCAGCCATAGGGAAATCATGGCAGATGTTTACGGACCTTCTTCCTTTGACCAGAGGGAGGGCTGGAGACACCACAGTCCCCCTAGATCATCTGTTCGAGTTCTTCACTTTCCTTACAGCTAGAAAAAGCTGTCTGCCCTGTATCCCAAGGAACTGGGAGCTGCTTCAGTCCCTTTCTCTTTGAAAAAGCACTTTTTGCATGTTTGAAGACTTACTGCTCCCATTTCCCTGTTCAGCCACCTCCTCTGTCTGTACTGGTTGGCTCCAGCTCGTGCAGCCTTTCCCCGCAGGTTATGTTTTCTGGACCTCATGCAGCTTTTCCCTTTGCTGCCCTGACCCCAGCTGTCTCTCCCACGGCGTGAGCGCTCAGAGCCGCACGCGGGGCGCTCTGCAGAGGTTTCCCCCCTGCCTTGTGGGTTACATCCCATTTACACATCCCAGTAGGATGTTTGATTTTCTGTGCACATGTGACAGCACGACACTGTTTGCACTTGGCTTGCAATCGGCAGGCTCCTCTCCTGCAGATTTGCTGTCTAGCAAGTTGTTTCTCCACTGTGTGTTCAGGCTGTTGACTTTTCCTATCTATTTGAAGCACCGTTTGCATGGGTCTCTTGAACAGCTTTCTGCACCAGTTTGCGAAGGATCCTGCTGTCTGTCTTAGTCCTGTCTCAATAATGCTTTAACTCATGGACCAGTTTCAGTTTGTTTTGACAGAGAAGCAGATGCTTCCAGGACATTAAACTCCTCTAAGTTTCATGAAAAGTGGTAGCTGGATGAAGGCGAGGAGGCAGGCGAGTTGTGCCGCTGAGGGAAGGCTGCAGTGTGAGTTTCCTGACCGCCAGCTCTGAGCCAGCCGTATGCTGGCTGCCTGGCGCCCAGCTTGTGGTTAGGGGATACAGAAAGGACATGTAGCTGTGTTAGGACGTGGGAAAGGAAAGAAGGAACCATTTTTGACCATAAACTATTAACAATTAATCTGTGCACATAGTTTACCTACCAATTTTATGCTGTCCCTGTGTGTTTTTGTTTGGATTGTTTCCTTAGCATGCCCATAAGTGTACCTTGGGAGCATACTTCACAAGCCTTGGTAAAGTCAAGAATACATGATGCCTACTGCTTACCCTTTCCCACAAGGCTTTCAGCCTTCTTGCAGGGGAGACTAGATAGGTCTGACGTGCTCTGTTCTTGTTTAAAACAAGCCAAAAAAAGTTTCTTTTCTTTTTTCTTGCATTCTTCTAGGTGCTTGTAAGTACTTTGTCCCTGTTTTTCACTGAAGACTGCAGTTAAGAACATGCGAGTGTTCAGTTTCCCTTTCTTGTTAAAAATAATTTTACCTTTTCTTGTCACTTGGTGTCTCACACCTCCTCAGGTGTTACTGCAGCAAACCACTAACAGACAGCTTGACAGCCCATTCTTTACGTGTCTTAGGATGAACCTCATCAAGACAAGCCTTCTGCTCAAAATCTAACTGATTTAGGTTGCTACTCATTACCAGAGTGCTGGGGTGGTGGTGTGGGACAGCCCCTACCCTGCTGCAGCGGTTGCACGTGTGGGTCAGTCTCCATAAGCTGTGCGAGCCCTGTGAGTGACCTGGCTGGGTTTGGTGCATCCCCCAAGCCCGCGCTGGCCCCTCGCTCGGCCACATTGGCACTCCATTGCAGGTCTGTGGAGGTGTCTTTGCTGCCATCTGATCTTTACGTAAAAAGCTGCAGACTCTACTGCAACACGAGATTTTTGTGTCTGGTGGACTGGGGGAAAAAGGTGGGCAGAGAGAGCTTTCTCCATCAACAGGGCACTTTCTTCTTCTGTTCTGTTTTTTGTTCCGTTAACTGAAGGCCTATGTAAGTACCAGCTTTCTATTCATGCAGGTTTAGAGGTTTTAATTTAAGTTTGTAAAGTGCGCCTAGGGCTTTGATGAAAGCATCTGCAAGAAAAATGTGTGTTTTTGCAGTGGCGGGGTTTTTTCCTCTTTATTTTTATTCTGGCTTTGCTGGATCACTGCCAAACCTTTCGGCTATATTTTTTAAGATGTATTTTTTTCCATGAGTGAACTTAGAAAGAGTTGTAACTTATCACAGCAAAAGCTCCAAAACGGCCCTATTTTAAAAGAGAACATTTCACTCGGATGAGGTAAATGTATGAGAGAGAAAGAGATGTGTGTGCATGGTGGGTCAGGGGATGGTGTTGATTTTGCTGCCGGGGCTCTTGGCCACCTTCACCTACCCCCATCGCCACCTTTTTTCCAAGTCCAGCCTCTGATGTAAATTAGAACAGCTGATAAAATATATATTTAGCTGTTATAGCCCTGTGGGGGAAAACAGTGCAACAGCGCGGACCCTGCAGCACAGGAGTGCCCCTGTTGCACCCCGTCCCCCTGATGCGCCCTTGCCCAGGGAATGTCCTGTGTGAGGGCAGCATGTTCTGGGAAGGTCCAGGGTCCTTTCATAGGCTTTAAAGCAGCTTGAAGGGGCTACAGGGCAATGCAGAGCTGGGTCCAAGAGGAATTAATCCTCTGGGAAGCAGTTGCACGGGGCTATAGAAACACAAGAGCTGTGTTGTGCTCTTGTGTTTCTATACGGAGGTGTGGAAACTGTAAGGCAAGGGGAGAGCAGCACTGCCTCCCAGGCAAGCGAGCACAACCCTGCAGCTTGGCAGACCCTCGCTGTTCAGAAGGTGGATGACATGAGGGTGGAACAGGCGGGAATATAACCCCTGGAACGCTTTTATGGCACCTGCCTTTGGGCAGGAACAAGGCTGGTGCTCAGTGACCGCTGGGGCGGCTTGCCCCACATGCGGTGGGACAAAGGATCACACCAGTGACTCTCGCACCTGAAGATGGGTGCACTGAGGACCTTTTGCAGCAAGGCTCCTCTGTCCTGTGAGGAGGGAGGGTGGGTGATGAGTAAGTTGCTGTGCAGGAGTGGTGGGAAGTGGCTTGCAAGCAAGGAGATGCTTTGCATCCTCTGGCAGCCGATGGCTTAGGGTTTCGTGCCCTGCCCGGCTCCCTGGGAGCAGAGGGCACAGCAGTCGTGCTGTCCTGTACCGCCAGGGCAAGGTTGTTGAGGAAGGTTGCCAAACTTTCAAGAAATGCTTCCAGACAAATGACTTGGAGCTCTCCTGGGATGTCCCCTCTCGAGCAGCATCTCTTCATTCCTTCCTGTTAACTCTGAGTTGGTTTTGAAATTTGACAGTCAGTTTTATTCCTGTGATAAAATATTTAAAAACTGGAAATAAAAGATGCAGTTTTGATATGTGCTTTGGTCTCGCTTGATGCCGTTTTGCATTCCAGCTGGTTCCTGCAGCCCCTGCTTGTTTCGTGTGTCCTTTGGCCTTGGCCTTTGGCACCTCAGACAAAGCAGAACCTCTCCTAGGACTCTAAACCTTCATTAACCACTAAGAAACTCCTCCATCGTATCTGCCTACTGCTGGGTTTTCAGTCCTTCTCCTCCAATCCTCCGCCTCCTC